CTGTTCATCATCAGCCCCCGAGGCAATCCACCACATCACACACTGGAGTAGGGTATTACACCACAACGGTGGCCCGAACCAGTATAAACCTTGTGTCCCTTATGTTGTTCGTTGTTTCCAGCTTAGATCACGTGAGGAGATTGGACGTAGATCGGTAGGGGAGAGATCTCCGTGCGCACCCCAGTGTTCGAACCTCAAGGGTCTGCCGGAACCCGAAATCCGACAGGCTCTCTTCTGGAGGGCCTCAAACCTTACCAACATCACGAGGGAGGCGCTCGGGCACCACTTGACGGCGTGCTTCGCGGCACGTTTCCCTCAGGAGAACACATGGCAAGGAGCGCCCACCGCTCAGGAGTTCATCACCAAGATCACTCAGGAACTGCAAGACGCAAGGGCCATGTGCGGCGACCGCCGCTCACAAGGCGCAGCTCCCCATCCAGGTGAGGATGTCGGGTTGCGCGTCTGCATTGACGTACCAGGGCTCAACAGGGCCGCATCGCAGGAGCTTTTCTGGCCTTCGCGCATGGGCCGTTGTGAGGGTCCACCACACAGCTATGTTCGCATGCCCTTCGGCTTGCCGAGTGTGTCGTCAGCCTATCAGCGCAACCTGCAGCGTGTCCCGGCGGCTCAGGAGGCCAAGCACCACGTCGTCCTGGCAGAGATAGAGACGGTCCTCAGGAAACCACCTGAGCCCCCAGAGCCTCCTGAGGCTCAGGGCCCCGGTGGCTCATGAGGAACGACCCCTTCGCCGCGTGCCTTCAGCTGCACCAACTCTCCTTTGTTGACAGAACCAGGTGACATTTTCCAAGTTCGTTTAGCTGGCAGCGCCCCTCGGGCTGCATATTTCCCAGGCCGCATGGGTCCATCCCTGTGGCATGTATCCCTTTTGCTTATGCCTTCAGTTTACCCTGTTTGGGGCGCCCCTCGGGCTGCATCGTCCCCAAGCCGCTCGGGCCTGACCCGGTGGCATGTATCTTTCTGCATTTACCCAAGCTGATTTGCCTTCCATGCTTAACCTACCTATGGCTATCACTTGCTTGATTGTTGCCCACTACGGGGGCCGCGCACCGGCACCCTTCCTCAGGGCCCCTTTTGCGTTGTCTGACCATCTCGCGGGACCAAGACAATAAACAAGGGCCGAGACTAGGCGCAATCCGCCTTGAGGTAGGACCTCGTGAGTCCCGCGCTGGCTCACGAGTGCCCAAGCACACCTCGCTAAACTCTACCGTGCCAGCCACGTGTCAGGGTGGGGCTGTACACGCCCCGGGGGCTCTCCGCAGTAGGGAGTCCCCTCGCCCGCTCCAGAAGCAAACCAGCGGTCCGGCGCCCTTCTTCGCGTTAACTTGCAGGGGCTCCCTGAGGATCATGGCGGGCGGTACCATGGACTCTCCTTCTTCTCTCATGTGATTTGCTTGCACGTTAAAAAGGGGGCTCCTGAGTATCGCGTCTCAGGAGCTCTTACTGGCTCTCCAGCCCTCACCCCCTGGCCTTGACCACGGCATCGCGACCTGGCATACCAGCGGCGGCTGAGCTTGCTCGAGGGACGGGACCCGAGGATGCAGAGCACCAAGAAGAGCATGGAGGGGGGGGGACCCGCACGAGCCTGGCATGGCTACGCTACAGCGACCAACGCACGAGCCCGGGCGTGCCACGAGGAGTAGACTCCAGACGAACCAGATAAGTTCACACACGGAACCCACCTATCGCCACGACACGAGACCTTCGCAGCGGCTCTATTGCGGCAATGTCGCCTCCCTTTCTTGCCTCTTCACGGTTACTTGGGCGCTAAGGGGGACCTCCTGAGCATCGCGCCTCGGGAGCTCTTACCGGACTTCGGGCCGCTCACCTCCTGGCCTTGACCACGACATCGCGACCTGGCATACCAGCGATGACTGCAGCCTGCCTGAGGACCGGGACCTGTCAGTGTAGAGCACCAAGCCGTCACGAGGATAGAAAGGGGAGACCGAGCCGAAGCGGGCCTTACTCCTTCCGCTGCCTTGCTATGGCGATACTCTCTTCCTTTCCCATTCTAAGGCAGCCGCTTGAGCGCTAAAGGGAACCTCCTGAGCATCGTGCCTCAGGAGCTCTTACTGGACCTCGGTCCGCTCACCTCCTGGCCTTGACCACGGCATCGTGACCTGGCATACCAGCGACGGTTGCAGCCTGCCTGGGGACCGGGACCTGTCAGCGTAGAGCACCAAACTGACGCAGGATTGGAAAGGGGAGGTCGAGCCTCAGCTGGATATGCACCCACGCAATTCCATAACAAGGACCATATATACGCAAAAGACATTACAGACCCTTTACACACCCCCACGGGGTAGTTCATGATTCTTCACAGGGAACCAGAATCAGAACTAAGAGGAATCCTATCTACACCCTCCCGTGGTGGACGCCATCATCAACAATGGGCCACGGGAGGCCGGCGCCGACCCCATCCAGATCAGCGGCAGCGGCGTCCGGACGCCACGGCCCTGCTCCGAGCTCGGCGGGAGTTTGGCGGCACGTAGCTGTCATCGCTCGTCTCCGGAGACCCCAAGGGCTCAGGAGAGTCACTGGACCACCACGAGTCGCTGTTGTCGCTGGAGTAGCTGCAGGCAAGACCAATGGAGGGCCCCGCGCCCGCCGCAATGTCGTCCTGGTGACCTCCTTCAGGGCAGCACTCCAGGCGGCGGCCTTCCTCGTCGAAGACCTTGAAGAACAACACGGAGGCGCCGTCGTACTTGAAGTGGATCGCGATGGCGCCCTCTGCACGGCAGACCCGGGCAATCTCACCCCAGCCTCGGGCCATGAAGATCTTCCCGGAGGCGATGGTTCCAATCTCCGCTCCGGTTGCCAGGGCGTTGTAGTCAGCATGCTGCAGCCAAAGTTCGCGGATGCCCCTCGACGGCGAAGAACGGTGGGAGGCGTATCCAGGTGCTTGGTGGCATCGCCGCCCACAGCACGAACTCACGCGACGAGTCCGCGGCATGGACCCCTGGGGTGACGGCGTGTGTCCCCGCGGCGCGGCAACCACGGCCGCGGCACGGGAGGCGCCGCTCGTCGCTTTGCCCTCCTGAGCCCTCGGCTCTGGCGTACAAGGGTAGCGGATACCCTGGAGGAGGCAGCTCGCACCAGGGCCTCGACACCACCTGCATCGCCGCTTCGTCGCGATGGTGAACTAACCTCTTCTTCGGCGGAAGCGGCTCTGGATCATCGCGGGGGGCCTTTCCTTTCTCTTCGGTGGAGAACCTTCGGATGGGCACCATTGCTGTTAGCAGTGGAGTAAAGAGGAAGAAGCAAATGAACCAAGAAGAGATGGGCGACGGGGGCTCCGCCCCTCCCCATTTATAGCGGAAGAAGGCCAACCGGCGTCTCCCACGATCACAAGTAATGATGATTTTCCTTGCATGTCGCAGGGACTTGTCAAATCGAGCAGTTGCCGAGGCGCGTGGAGAAGCGGAGACGCCCACGACCAATCAACCGCCACGCGTCAACCGAGGCCGCAGGCTTTTGGGGCCCACGGCGCTTCGCGCTTGATCCTTTGGCTTCGCCTCGAAGCCAAGCCCGAGCGCGCCTTGGGCCCGGGGGCTACTGTCGGCGTTCTGGGAACGGGGATCCCCAGACTTGCCTGCCTGCGGCCCATGACGTAGCTGTGCTGGCAGGTCTGTACGGCCCATCATCATCAACAAGGCATTCAAGACCCTCGCGAGGGGCCAAGCCTCGCGAGGCGGACGACGCAAGACCTCCACAGGAGCGGCCTCACCAGGCTGCCTCGCGAGGAGCGGAGATATCAAGGCGGGGCGAACTTCACGAGGCTCTTGTGCCATGAGCCATGACGATCGACACCAGGCGAGCGCCAGCGCGCGCAGCGTCCTTGTTTCCTCTTTGGTGATAAGGAGGCAAGTGCAGGCGCGGAGTACCGAGGCATCAGGCAAAGGTTTCCATATCAGTGCAACGAGACCAAGACCAAAAGGACGGCAGGACGGAGGTCACCATGGAGCCCAGGACGACGTCACCACCAAAACCTTTGGCAGGCGAAGACCACCTTTTGTCAGGATAGCTTGTACTAGTTGTCCCCTTTCAAATTGGTCGTCGTTGTTGGCTCCCTTCCCGCTCAATATTTGGGGAGAGGACCAAGGCCTATATAAGTAGGACTAGCCACCACCAAAGGGGGGGGGATCCGATCTGATCAAAGGCCAACGCTTAGTACACCAAGCACAAGAACACCTCAACCTCAGGAGGCTGTTCTTCCCCTTGTACTGTTCATCATCAGCCCAGGAGGCAATCCACCACCACCGCACTGGAGTAGGGTATTACACCACATCAGTGGCCCGAACCAATATAAAACCTTGTGTCTTTGTGTTGCGAGTGCGTCGAGTTCGTCCGCGAGACCTTTGCGAGCTAGGGTGTAGACCGAAAGAAGGGAAACTGCGCGCGCACCCCAGAGTTCGAACCTCAAGGGTTTGCTGGAACCCGTGATCCGACAGTTGCTTGGTTCTCCTACTGTTTCGATAACCTTGGTTTCATATCTAAGGGAAATAACTACCGCCGTTGCGCTGCATCATCCCTTCCTCTTTGGGGAAATACCGACGTAGCTTCAAGTGACATCAGAGTTATGCATCGGATGGACGATGAGCTTGCTGGAAGCTAATATGGGGAACAAACGTACCGCCCAAGTTAAGAATTTTGCGTGGAGAGTTGCTGTTGATTCACTTCCTACATTGCAGAATAAAAACAAGCGTGGATTAGAGGTAACAAGTTTCTGTCCGGTGTGTGCAACTGAGCCTGAAGACAATTTTCATGCCCTGTGGCGATGCCCACTTGCAGCGCAACTCTAGGAATGCATGAGTGAGGTCTGGCGCCTACTGAAATTAAAGAAGGTGTCTAACACGGGTGTAGAATGGTTGTTGGAGGTTTTGTATCCTTTGGGAGATATTGATCGAGCTATGTTATTATTCACATTATGGAGATGTTGGCATAATCGGAATGAGTTGGTACATAATAAAATTCCAGCACCGATGGATGCTTCACGCCAGTATTTATGCAGCTACCTTGAGTCGTTAATTGCTATAGCTCAAAATTCTAATTGTGATCCGACGAAAGGTAAAGCGGTGATATCTTATGATCCAGCGGTAAATAGGCCACATGAAATATCAAGAATTGTGCCTCCCGTTAAGTGGCTTCCTCCTCCTGAGGGTTGGGTGAAGCTCAATACGAATGGTTTCTGGACTAATGATGGTAGGGCTGGTGCTGGTATGGTGCTTAGCGATAATCTAAGCAACATTATTTATTCATCTTGCAGGGAGTTATTTTCATGCCGAGATGCCCTTGAAGCAGAATTATGCGCTTGCGTGGAGGGTTCATCCATTGCTATTCAGCGGACGGAACTTCCAGTTTGTATCGGGATGGATTCACTTATAGCAGTGAATATGTTGAAGGACAAGGACATTGACAGATCAATCTACGCGTCTTTGGTGGCAGAGATAAAGTACTTAACGGTCGGTTATTAACGGAATTCCTTGCCGGCTTTCCGTGAAATACTCGTTTGGCCTAGGACTTCCAAACACCTCATAAGCTAAACCCGTACTGACAAATAACCAATCCGTAATGAATAGGGAAGGTATAGTAATGCTATGAAGTTTCTTCAAACGACTAGTATTGTTCATATCAAGCGTGGTCAAAATTTAGTTAGTGTTTTTTTAGCTAGTTTTGCTAGAACTGAGAGTAAAACTCTTGTCTGGTTGGGATCAGGACCCCAAGAGCTCATCGATTTATTTGTGTAAGCAGGATTGTACGTTTGATGCTTGAGTATTATAAGTTTATCCGCAAAAAAAAAAGATTCGGCCATTGTTGGTGAACATCCCAATCTCTCCAAAAAATTCCAGGCGTCTCAGTGCTGCTATACCTTCAGCGGTAGGGTTATTAGTGAAAGGGTTGGTTAGCTAACCACAAGATATTTTATACAACTAATTGTTGTTAGCTTGTTGTAATCTCGTAACAAACCTTGTACTAGTCATTATCACGCATGTCATTCCTCACCATTTCCCCAAAGTTAAAGCTCTTCCACATAAGATAACCATCAAGCTGTTTTTGTGTGACATGCCTGACACTCGATCTAAAACCTTGTGATTTAAGGCGTAGTAGTAGCCTAGTAGGGGTGGCAGGTGAGGCGAGACGGCTGAAACGTCTGCCTCGTCCCAGACGAACTGTTCAGCGCCGAATCAATATCCCTGGGCTAACCCCATTTGACTTCATGTCCGAAGTGCTAACAACCCCGTTTCTGCAGATCAATCAATCGACGGATTAAATGAAAATCGGTTCCTGTACACGGAATCAAAGGCGTCTGTCCGTTCCAAACGAGCACTGTACCGACGCGGGGCCGTCGCCGCACCGCACCACACCGGAGGAGGGAATCACGGAGCAACACCAAGGTTTGAAGCCGGCCGGTGTAGGGTGTACCACCAGTCCACCACAGCATCCATGGGAGGGACGCATCTCGCGCATGACCACCCCGCTAATCCGGAGCCAGCAGCGCCTTTCCGCAACTGCCACATGACCCCGCTGGCCTCCGCCCCATCAACAACCCGTCCCCCTCCCCCCCTCCGCACCGTGCTGTCAGTGCAGTCGTGCACCGCATCCCTCTCCCTCTCCCTCTCCCCGGTCCTGGCCCCGTTTCCCTCTCGCTGATCCAGGAGATCAAGAGAGAGGGCGGCAGTACGATTTGGGATAGAAAAGGGAGACGGAAGGATCGGTCGAGCGGTAACAGCGACTAGTGTAAGCCGGGCGGGCAAGCCATTGGAGGAGTGCACACAAGAATCTCAGGGCGGGGGAGGGGGGGAAGAGGACAAGGCCACTCCAACTGCCGCGGCCGCGGCTCCTTTTTTTCACTTCTTTGGATGCCCTGACTGGGATGGTATCTTGTCAGACCGGCACTGGCTCTTGTGTTCTTGTTGTCGCCATTGTCTCCTCCCCAGGACCAGCACCAGCCCAGGAGTAGAGAGAGAGAAGCTGAGAGAGGCTGAGAAAGAAGGAGAGAAGACAGAGGCCGGCCCGCCGGGGGGAGAGTGGGATACCAGGAAGGATGCGGTCAATGCCGGCGTCTCCATTGCCGCTCCTGGCCCCCTCCACCTTCTACCTCTTCGTCATCTTCTTGCTGCCGCTGCTCTGCTGCCCGCTCGCGGCCAATGGAGGAGGGGCTCCGCCGCCCATGGCTTCCTCTCCGGCGGCTGCGGCCGCGTCCACGGCCGTCGGCGACCTCGCCTCCTCGAACGGCAGCGTCGCTGCTCCTCCGGCGGCCGCGGCGCCTGCTCCCTTTGGTAGGTCGGCAGCCAGCAGTGCAGCTGGATCAACGCCTTTTCTTTTCACCCCCGTGTTCATTGTCTTCTTGCAACAGCGTTGTTTTTCTGGGCCCTTGATTCTGGCCCTGTGCTGCCGCATTTGCTCGCCTGTGGATGGCCTCTTGCCAAAATTTCAAATTTGGGGAAACATTCTCTTGCCTGCTTCGTCCTTATTTCAGAAATTTCAGTGCTGATTTGGTGGGGAAGCCATTTTGGTTCATTGGGAATGGTGGGGAAAAAGTGCATCTTATCTTGGGATCATTTGTCCCCAGCTTTGAGCAAAGGAATCTTTTCCGTGAATTTCAGTGCAAACTTAATCCGAGCGCACAGTTCTTTCTTTCGGAATGCTGGGAAAAATCACTACTACTACCAGTACTGCATTTTGTGCTCATAAAACTTGTCAAAATCTGAGGGGAGGCGACGCAAGGATCCTGCTAAGATCGCTGCATTAAATTCAATTAAAGTGTTGCTGTTTCTTTCGGATTTAATGGCAAAAGAAGGTTTGGCTTTGGGGTGCTCCAATTTTTACTCTTCGAAAAGGTTGATCTTTGCCAACGCCCAACCAAACACCCCAAGTGCCTAACCACCACCCTCCATTTGCCTCCGTGTTGCAGTGCTCACAGTGGAAGCGGAGGAAACGCACCAACATTTGCGCAGGCAGATTATCATCGCCGTCGTCCTCGCCTCCATCGCCGGGGTGATGATCGTCCTCGCCGTGCTTTTCGCCTGCATCGCGTGGCGGCGATATCGCCGAGCCCCAGACGACTTCAAGGACACCCAAAGCACAGGTCTTGATACTCTTCTTGCTCCGTGTTAATTGGTTCTGATGTATCCAAGCAGTAAGTGAGTTAGCTACTGATGTGTTTGCATTTGTGCAGATACCCAAAGGATAGCATTGGTGCCAATCTTGAACAGGTTCAACTCATTCAAGGCTACCAAGAAGGGCCTTGTGGCGATGATGGAGTACGCGTCGCTGGAGGCGGCGACGGGCAATTTCAGTGAGAGCAATGTGCTCGGGGTCGGTGGATTCGGGTGCATGTATAAGGCCAGTTTTGATGGAGGGTTTGTCGCTGCGGTGAAGAGGCTGGGGTGCGACGGACAGGAGTATGAGAAAGAATTCGAGGTGATGATTGTGTTCTACAATACTAGTTGTTTTCAGATTGTTGTCTGGTCTTGCTGAAAATGTTTTGATTGTTGTTGATTTGGCAGAATGAGCTGGATTTGCTTCAGAGGATTCAGCATTCGAATATAGTGTCCCTTGTGGGCTTCTGCATTCATCAGGAGAACCGCTTCATTGTTTATGAGCTGATGGTGAATGGATCACTGGAAACACAACTTCATGGTAGTATACACTCCCATTAAATTATCTCGAGTTTCTTGTCTGAAAAAAATGGAAATTATATCGAGCTGTGAAGTTGGATAGGTAAGAAGTATTGATAATATTTCTTAATCTGTGTGGTTGCATCTAGGACCATCACATGGATCAGCTCTAAGCTGGCACATTCGGATGAAGATTGCTCTTGATACAGCAAGGTACCCCATCTTGTGCTTTCCTTCATTCTTGTGATTAAGTGCATTATTTATATGCATACGATTGGTTATCATAATATGCATCGGTAAACTACACTAACCAGGGGATTGGAGTATCTTCACGAACACTGCAATCCACCAATTATCCATAGGGATCTGAAGTCATCTAACATACTTTTGGATTCAGATTTTAATGCAAAGGTATGACTGCTTTTTTTAGTTCTGGTCAATTAAAATAGTATTATTGACCATAACTCATATCACTCAAAAGGAAAAACAAAACAGTTCATTAATCCTCTGTCGGTGTGCAGATTTCAGATTTTGGCCTTGCAGTGACAAGTGGAAATCGCAGCAAAGGGAATCTGAAGCTTTCCGGTACTTTGGGCTATGTTGCCCCTGAGTACTTACTAGATGGTATGTTATGCCCTCTTTTTTCTTATGCCCCAGTCTGTGATTCTCTTTGTAGACTAAACCTTGTTTACAAGGACGATGTTCTACTCTAATTACGTGTAACCACACTGAATTCAGGGAAGTTGACCGAGAAGAGCGATGTATATGCATTTGGAGTAGTACTTCTTGAGCTTCTTTTGGGCAGGAGGCCAGTTGAGAAGATGGCACCATCTCAGTGCCAGTCAATTGTTACATGGGTACACACTATTCTGATATGTGACATTTTGAAATTAGCTAGAATTGATCCAGTTAAACAGTGCGGAAATTCGCTAGAACACTTCAATTATTCACCGCCTGAATTTGGCAGATAAGTTCCATTCGCCTAATTTCATTAGCATCTGACATATTTGGGTTTAAATTCAGGCCATGCCCCAGCTGATTGACAGATCCAAGCTCCCTACCATAATCGACCCTGTGATCAGGGACACGATGGATCGGAAGCACTTGTACCAAGTACTACCCGTCACTGAAATTAACTCATAATTGTTTCTTTATTTACATCTGTCATCACAACTACTTCGCTACCTTTCAGGTTGCTGCAGTGGCTGTGCTCTGCGTGCAGCCGGAACCAAGCTACAGGCCACTGATCACAGATGTTCTCCACTCTCTGATTCCCCTGGTACCCATGGACCTTGGAGGGTCGCTGAGGATCAACCCGGAGTCGCCTTGCGCGACACAAAATCAATCTCTGTGCTGAGAAATAAAAATGAGGGGTACAATCCAAATGTGGCGATTCAGTGGGCTCACATCGTCCAAATAGTTCAGATAGCCTGTGATGTTGAGTGCAGGTTATGGTTTCTTGCTCCAGTTGCCTTTCTTGGTGCTTGTCTGATGATGTGTTCCCCAACCTTGTGAGACCTACACATACTTGTTGGTTGAGTTGATAGAGTTTTCGGGTTCGCAAAGAAGAGGACCACACACCTGATCTTCCTCGCTGTATAAAGAGTTCATCTGTAATTTTCCCCCGTCCTTTTCCTTTTCTTTGGCTCTGAACACCGCTGTATAGATTTGAAGATTTTCATGCAATGAAAGAAATACTTGCCCCAGTCAGCGTGCTGCATCTTGTTATCTGTAAAGTACCTAGTTTCTAATGCTTGCTTGATGCTTTGAGCTCGTTAAACCGTCTCGAGTTGGCGTTTGAAGAATGAGCCATGAGATCGGTTGAGTGGCTCAGGGAGTTCTTTGTTACCCTTGTTCACACTCTTGTTTGCACTTTGTAGGAACCTACTATCAAATAACTTGTTAGAAATGCATTCTGTACAAGTTGCAATATAAATGCTTCTTTTTCCAACGAGACCTGTCATCTCAGACAGAGATTTGTGAAGACTTCTTCTTTGGGTTGGCACTTAGCCACCGGATTAGACAAAACTTCATTGTTAATTAGGTGCGACGGCTGCTAGCGGGTCCGCTTTCTGAACAGTATATGTGACATGTACATGGACTCTTGAGAATCTTAGAAAGAGATTTTTCTTAAGCAAGTGAATCTTACAAGGTTGGTTGAGCTGTGGGAAACAGTGGCGGCAAGAGGAGACCCGATCATGTGCGCATTAGGTAGGAAATTAAGATCTTATCATACGGTTGCTTCGTCATAGACTCATAGGCCGTACGAAAAAGCGCGCTGGGGGTATGCATGTCTGATTGTATATGGGATGGATTCTCATTTAGAAGCTGGAGGGTCACACATTCATACTAGCTTTAGCAAGTAGCAGTGGAATAATGCAACAGTGTTGCTGTGTTCTTAAGCTGAATGTGTGAGGGGGCAGTACAGTAGTCTCCCCAGGTCTTTCACTGGAATATACTGTATCAATCACTCTAACCTGAAAAGCTGAGTGGGTGAGTGGGGTTCATGCTAGGTTCCATAAAGCTCCTTCTTTTATTGTTTTGACAGCTAATATTTCTCTCATACTTTTTCTCGCTTAAACCTCCATGAGGACAATGTGCTCGCGACAGATTGCGGTATTTCACTAATGGAAGGTGCCATGTTGCATACATGAGCGGTGTACACTTTTGTGGTAGTCGGGTGTTTAAAACAGATTGCGCATTGAAAGAAGTCTTTGAAATGGTTGGGTGATCATTATGTACCCCACTAGTACCTTTAGTTCAACATTTCTTTCTTCTTTTACTTCAACAACCTCAAGTGCCAAAAGCAAAGGGAAATGCTAGCTTCTTGCTTAGCTGTAAGATGTGGAAATCATGCATGCCTAGTGTTGAAGTTCAGCCAAGTACTTGCATTTGGTTGAGGATTGCAAGCCTTGGTTACTTATTTTTTCTTTAATTTATTGGTACTTGAGAAAGAGCAAGCTTTATTCAGTTAGTGTAGGCATTTGCGTGCGTGACCAGCTTTTTTCGACGTCTTTGCATGGATCATCGTTGATGTCTCAAGAATCAAACGGTGTAGGCAGTACAAGGTTTTCCAGAGCTCAAGTTTGTAAATATTAGTTGGAACACCAGCATGGTAGTGCATACTATTGCACATTTGCACATCTGCTGATTATCAAAAATACTATTGCACATCTGCTAGAAATGAATTGGAACAGGTCAGTCGTGATGACGATGTTGATCTTTAAGGGAAGGTGGTTGCAGAAGTAGAAAAATTGCGCAGGCTCTAGTTATGAATCTATTAAGTACTTATTGTTGTTGCAATAAACAAGAAAAATGTACTCCCTCGACTTTGTACTAAATCAGCGACATTAATATAGACCGAAGGGAGTAGTAACTTATATGAAGTATCTCTTTTTTTTGTAGAAGAACAATAAAAAGGTAGCAACTTATAGGAAGTACTCCCTCTGTAAAGAAATATAAGAACTTTATATTATCTTTTTTTAAGAAAACTTTGAGAAACAATCAAACTTTTTGATAACCTAAGAATGGTTCGGTGAGTTGATGACAATAAGACACTGTGGCAACAAAGATCCTAAAATAAACTCGTCTTCTTTATTTTTCCTTTTGTATCTCCACATTCACAAAAGCCTCAAATGAAGAAACACCGAAAAGCCAAAACATCATAAACCCTTGCATGGTAGGGTGACAAACTACTGCACTTTGCTTGCTTTATCGTCGGATCGGACAAAGGAAATCCAAAAACCATAGGCTCTAGCACGGCTATCACAACCACACTAGCATGGGTCGAAGCTGGGGATCTTCAATTTATTCGTCATGGCTTAAATCATTGAGACCCCGCCGTCAATGATATTGATTATTATATTTCTTGCTTTCTTGCACCGGATCGACAACCCGAAAGCGAGGGAAATCAATGGAAAACAAGGAGAAGTAGCCGGTGTTTTGCAACTTATCTTCTAAGTCATGCAACTATCACTTCTATGTTTTTTTCCCGAGCAATCGGTTGACCTTATTGATTAACTAACGGGAATACAACATACCAGACAAATTGAAACACACGTGGACAACAAAGGTCACTGATAAAATTAAAAGTTACTCCCTCCATTTACTTATACAAGGCCACTATGGAATATACATTTTGCATCTATACAAGGCCATCAACAGTAATCAAGGCAAAATTAATGCATGTTTAATACTTATATGCATGCAGTCATAATGACAATCAGCTACTTCCTTCACTCAGTTTTCTTGCATGCATGTGGCGTGTTAATAGTCTCAGTAAACGAAAAGAAAAGCTGACTTGCAAAGCACACATTAAAATTTACATTGGTACCTGTAGTCTGAGTTTGTGGCCTTATATATAAAAATGGAGGGAGTACATCAATGACATTCGAAGTCATCTCTAGCTCGTCCTTCTGTATACTAAGAGGGTGCTTGGATATGTTTTAGTCCCATGACTAAAAGTAGTGGGACTAAAATTTGCTAGCCTCATCCATGCTTGGACCCAAATACTAAAGAGACTAAAATCAAGTTATTGAGCATTTATTATTCTCCAAACCCTCCAATCCAGAACTCGCATGTATTAAAAGAGAGGAATTAAATGAGGAGAGAGAGGGCTAATACATATTTTAGTAGGTTTCCTATGACTAAAAAAATTTAGCCTCAAGACTAGTTGTAGCTTCTCTTTAGTCAGGGGTGCTTAGAACTTTAACCTCTAAAAGAGACTATTTTTAGTCAGACTAAAAATAGTCCCTTGGATCCAAGCACCCTCTAACATTCCTCGAAAACTACGGTATAAAATCACAGAAGACTAATACATGCAAAATGGACTAACGCCATAAGTTTTAAGGAGCCACTTAAGTTCACTTGGGTTTTCCTGTTTTCCTCGGTTTGTTTCTTTCTTTCTCGTTTCTCATTGTTTTCTTTGCTTTCTTTTTTATTTATTTGTTATTTTTTCTTATTTCTTTTTTTCTTATGTTTATTTTGGTTTTCACTCTATATTTTTTGTACTCCCTCCATTCCCTTATACAAGGCCACAAACTCAAATTACAGGTACCTAGGTAAAATTTAATTATTGTTTTGTCATCCCACTTTTCTTTTTGTTAACCGGGATCATTAATACGCCCACATGCATGCAGTGAAAGAATGAGAAGGAAGTAGCACAGTGTCATTATGACTACATGCATTCAAGTATTAAACAAGTTGGTAGTACGAGGAAACATCATTAAGTTTTGCCTCGATTAGAGTTAGTGGCCTTGTATAGATGCAAAATGTATTCTTCATAGTGGCCTTGTTGAAGGAAATATGCCCTAGAGGCAATAATAGAGTTATTATTTATTTCCTTATATCATGATAAATGTTTATTATTCATGCTAGAATTGTATTAACCGGAAACATAATACATGTATGAATACATAGACAAACAGAGTGTCACTAGTATGCCTCTACTTGACTAGCTCGTTAATCAAAGATGATTATGTTTCCTAACCATGGACAAAGAGTTGTTATTTGATTAACGGGATCACATCATTAGGTGAATGATCTGATTGACATGACCCATTCCATTAGCTTAGCACCCGATCATTTAGTATGTTGCTATTGCTTTCTTCATGACTTATATGTTGGAAATATGCCCTAGAGGCAATAATAAATTGATTATTATTATATTTCCTTGTTCATGATAATCGTTTATTATCCATGCTAGAATTGTATTGATAGGAAACTCAGATACATGTGTGGATACATAGACAACACCATGTCCCTAGTAAGCCTCTAGTTGACTAGCTCGTTAATCAATAGATGGTTACGGTTTCCTGACCATGGACATTGGATGTCGTTGATAACGGGATCACATCATTAGGAGAATGATGTGATGGACAAGACCCAATCCTAAGCCTAGCACAAGATCATGTAGTTCGTATGCTAAAGCTTTTCTAATGTCAAGTATCATTTCCTTAGACCATGAGATTGTGCAACTCCCGGATACCGTAGGAGTGCTTTGGGTGTGCCAAACGTCACAATGTAACTGGGTGGCTATAAAGGTACACTACGGGTATCTCTGAAAGTGTCTGTTGGGTTGGCACGAATCGAGATTGGGATTTTGTCACTCCGTGTAAACGGAGAGGTATCTGTGGGCCCACTCGGTAGGACATCATCATAATATGCACAATGTGACCAAGGGGTTGATCACGGGATGATGTGTTACGGAACGAGTAAAGAGACTTGCCGGTAACGAGATTGAACAAGGTATCGGTATACCGACGATCGAATCTCGGGCAAGTACCATACCGCTAGACAAAGGGAATTGTATACGGGATTGATTGAGTCCTTGACATCGTGGTTCATCCGATGAGATCA